TTTAGGGTTTAGGGTTTAGAGAGGCTGTGTTTAGTGGTCTTTGAGCAGAAGGGATCCCATATTGGGACCCGTAGTAAAATAATTAGCAAAGGGACTCCCCCAAAATGGTAGCGCTAACAATAAGGAGACCCTGCCCCCTACACTCTTCTTCTTTAATGCTTGTGCAGGGGGCGGCTGTGGATGCGAATGGGGTGAATTTCCTATATCCTATGAGTTGTTAGCAGGCAAGCCCTAAGCCCTCATAAACCGGAAACACCTAACATATGGCTCTAGACCCTTACATCCCCCCACAATGCTCACGTAAGCAAGCAAGGTGCAGTGCATGCATCTACGCCATGATCGTGTTGCTGGTCGCCGGCATTCTGGCCGGGGCCTAAAGTCGTCGCAGTGTGTTGCAGGGATTCTCCCAGATCCGACTGGGCAGTGTGAGGTTTCCGTGGGCTGTCATAGGGTCGTGTTTGTAGGGGTTTGTGTTTAATGGGCGTTTAAGGTTGAGTCGAGTTGGGGCTAAGGGGCGCGTAGAGGGTCCATGTTTGTGGAGTTACACCGCTCTCAAAGGCTGTACCTATGAATGTGGTCTCATATGTGCCCATGCAAGTAAGAAAGCAAGTATTCAAGCAAGCGCACCTGCAGTCTTATGTCTTTCTTTCCGTCCGTCAGTGAGTCTGTGTGCTTGTGTGTAGGTGTGTACCTGCATAGGTGTGCAGGTGTGGAGGTGTCTGGGTGCGTACCTATGTAGGCATTTAGGTGTGTAAGTGTACATGTACATGTTCGGTACAACGTAGGCGTATGTGTATATGTGTGCGAATGAATATGCATGTAAGTAAGTAGGTATGTATCAAAGTAGATGTACATATATATATATATATGTATGTATGTATATGTACGCACGCATGCAGCATCCAGGGAAGTGGGCTGAGGTAGGCAGGCAGACAGGCAGGCATGCATGCAGGGCAGGTATGTCTGCATGTACCCATGCATGCTGAGCCAATACAACGACAACCAAAACCCAAACACCCTGAACCCCAAGCCCGCAATGCAGGCCCTAAACCCTAAACCCGA